TTTTTAAGACTCTGTGTAACACTACAAAGATACGAGACCAAATATACGAGCACCAGAATTCTGGCACCACAACCTTCCTTGAAAGCCTTGGTGCTCTTCACAAGTCCCTGTTACAAATGTAAAGCATCACAACAAAAAGAAAAGAAAAACCCTTGTATAAATAAATAGCACAAAAAAAGAATACAATGGCAAGATAAAAATATATAGATATAAATATAACACAGAACAAACTTTAATAAATTAAAAGTCTTCTCTCAGGTCTGGGAACAGAAATGGAGGAAGGAAATCCAACAGAATTTGGCCACCAGCTTTCAAGTACCATAGGAGGCTCCAAAGATGGAGTCATATAAATATTATAGCATTTGTACACGGAGATTGGTTGATAAATGATATCAGTTGTAACATAGTTCTCAAAGTTATTGGGGGGGGGGAGAATTTGGACCTCTGTAATAAATCCCCAGCAGGACTACCCTTTTGGTGTACATCTAGAAGCAGAAATAAGGCATACAAGTATTACCACCACTATTTCTGCTATTAAAGAATCATGACAAAATCCTTATGCAAATCTCACCAAAACCAACAAAGAGCACAAAAGAATTTATGTTCATTTCACTCAAACTGCCAGGCTGTTTCAATGAATTTTTCCATGTGGTAGCTGCCCGATAATCAGATTCTCTGCCTGAGAAACAAATAGGAGAATCTGAATTAAAACATTGTTGTTGGTGATAACAGTAGAGAGGGAAGAAAATCCAGAGCAGCAGGCAAGGGATTATAAGGCAAGGAAAGTTCAGGGACATCTCAACAATACAGAGAGGGTCTGTTAAGGTATCTTCTCCTCCCACTGATAAAACCAATTATTTTTGCAATATAGTATTGGTCAATTCCATTATCCAAAGCATAAACTTTGGATGGTCACTCAAGTCAAGCAATTAATTAAAAGGGACTGAAAATTATACAATTACAGCATCACTGCCAATTGCATGGAGATTTGTTTTGTTCCTAATCTTTCATGAACATGAAGGATTTGCATGTTTTTGAAAGACAGCAAAGATTTCTTTAGTCAAAGCAGTATGGTGAATTCTCATTTCCTAGACTCCCGTTTAAAGACTTTGGATGCAAGAGACTAAATTTCAGTTGAATATCTCTCTGGAATAAGAAACATGTCTGTTGCATCTGAAGTATTCTGAAGAAGGAACTTAAACTCAGGTTAGTTTTACTTATCTTACAGAGTTTGCCTCATAAGAGATGAATCACAACTTAGTATGTAATTTGTGATTTGACATCTGAGATAAAATGAACACCTTTACCTCCCAATCAGTCCATTATACCAAGGTTCAAAACAAGTGTACACATAAAGACTATTATTATGATTGAGTCTTACCTCTGTATTCAGACTTGGTGGCAGGTCCAAATTTAATCCTAAAATAAGTTTTCTGAGCATAGGAAAAGGCAGAGGTCAGGCCCGTCCTGTCCTCATAAGGAAGGGAAACACTTTAAAAGCTATGCAGATTGTATACCAGTTGTCCGGAAGTTAAACAAATAACCAAGAGGACCTGGCTGAGACACAGCGACTCCAATAGCACCATGGAGGAAGCAAATCACCAAGGGGGGTCTGTGATCCACCCTCCACAAGTCAGAATAAAATATGTTGCCTGCAATTTACTTACTGTTGAAAATTAGACACTTAAAACTAATGCAACAGATGTGGTTCCATTAGTAACTGTTTTGTACTGACAGCTCTGTTAGAAATTTCAGCTGATTAAAAAGGGCTAAGCTAGAAAGAAAAGGGGTTGCCTCCTGAAAAAAATGCCACAGCTTAAACCCAGCAATATTAGCCCTTCACCTACAAATCAAGAATCAAAAGTGAGGAGGTTGGCTTGGGCCAAATAAACTGAACTAAAGTGCTTCAGAATTTGTGTTGATTAAAATATATGCCCAAGCCAAATTAAAACAAAAAAAAAATTAATTGCACACAATGGAAGTCTATGAAATAGCGATTGTTGCTCCATGTCATCTTACTGCCTCAGATCTTTTGAGGAAATCCATGAGTTTTGTCTACCTCAAAGAATTCTATTCATATTCTACCCCATTCAGTATCACCAGCAGTATATGAAATGTTCAGTTAGGGAGGCAGTAAAATGTACCCACCTCTCACTAGTATTTTGAAATATGCAGATAAATATGGCTAGACTTAATATCTGGTCTCAAGTCAGCCTGGACCATCTAAGGACTAGCATAATGTTATAATATCACTTGACCGCTCTTATATTCTCAGATGTTATGTGAGAAGGTTAACATATGGCTTCAAATTCCAGCCTCAACTAATTATAGTTTATTACATGCATGCTTTCATGTAAACTCATGGTAATACAACTCTTACTGTTTTTCTAATGGCAAATCATGATGGAAAATAGCAATTGATTCTTAGGCAGGAGTCTTTTCTAGAAGAAACAAAATTTTTTATGGAGAAGCATTGTTATAAACTAGATAGGAAGCTTGCTTAGGCAACATGGAGCATAGAAAAAATTGGAGATGGTCTTGATATTTTGGTATTCCCACAGCCTGCCTGGTTGCCCTCCAACAACACTAGCTATTGTTACACAGTTGGAATACCATCAGCATGAATCAGAATGCAGGGCAATTTATATCATGAGATTTGAACTAGCAGTCTGAGTGACTCTGAAGTTTCAAGATCACTAAAACCAATGCAAGGGAGACGTCTGGTTGGAAACAGACATAGAACCCTATAGAAAAATAGGATATAATAAATGTCACGTGATGGTCCCAGATCGTATTATTACACAAAAGGGGAAAGTGTTAAAAAATAATTAGGAATGCTAATTGTAATCCATAAAACCTGATTCACTTTTGACCTCCAAATGTTGTGTTCATAACTCATATTATTTACCCAGGAAACAGCTGAGTAAATTAAGAATAGGATTTCCTTAAAAGCAAGTCACGCTGTTTTCTACATTGTGGGAGGATACACCTCATTAATATCAAAGATCTTAAGGCACCATTTACAACCATGAGTTGGTAGTAGCACACTTTAACTATCAGTATGGGAAACTCAAATGCCCTTTCCTTGGCCTCTCCAAAAGGCTTGGACTTTAAATCTTTTGATTAAATATCATCATCCCTGCAAATAATCCAACTTCATAAATGCTATCAATCCAAACAGATAAAGAATACTTCCCAATAAGGATTGAAGTCTTCCAGATGTTACAAAATCTCATTCACTCTAGCTAAGAAAACTAATGGAAAGGGATTGTGGATGCGACAGGTTGCCTGTCCCTACTTTATGGACATGTTTGCTTCATAGATTAGATTAAATTAAGTTACAGCTCCTTCTAGTGGCCATTTAATTAAAATGGATTTTTTTAAAAAAACCTGCATGCCAACTTTACCCAATCTATAAACAAAGGCTGAGATTAAGGGGGGGGAAAGTCAATAGCCATGTGCTTGTATATCCAACATTACTAAGGGAAGGCATTTCTTTCTCCCTGTGTCTTAAAATAAAATCTTAACAGATGCAGAAGATGCCTAACTTAAAAGAACTTAAAAGAACTATGGATTCAAACTGCCTGATGATGTTACAGGTAGAAAATTGACCTCAAGAAACACACTGGGTTGATACCAAGAATTTTGCCTTTCTGCACAACTGATTAAAGCCGAATGGGAAGTAATTCTTCTAGGCAAGATGACTTTGGACCTAGACAGAAGGATGCAACCAACTTAGCTCAGATTTGACATCATTCAGCACTCTCTTCAATCTCTGATCACCTCTCCTCTAGTTTAACCACAGCAAAAGGCAAAAGCAGGAATCTATTTTTATCTTAATCCTAAAATAGCCACTGAGGAGATTCAAAGATTCAAAAGTCTTTGGCAGGAAATCAAACTGCATGCACTATTATGTGTTCCTCCTTGGTGTCAGGTTAACAAATAATACTAGAAATGACTTCTGTCGAGCTGCATGATACAGAATTTCCTGCTACATATTTAAGAGCTATCATATGACAACCTGCCACATTGAGCAGGGATCTGGATTTATATAGGAAGGGCCAGCTAAACCACCTACAAATGGACCTCACCTATTCAGACATGGTTATATGTGCAGAGAGTCAGTCTTGGATGATATGTTATTGGGAAGACAAATTAAAAGGCACGTGCAAGTACAGCATAAAGTACTGCACACCTCCAATTTATTCTGTAAGGTCACTTTGGCATCAGGTCTCCATTTACTCTCTCTGCCCAACCTCTCTTTAAACTGTTGACTCTCCTTCAGGTAATTTGCCAGTTTGGCTTTGAACACATCCGGTGTGTTTTGTTTTTGTTTTTACACGGAGATTAGGTGTTGTTTTTTTAAATGATCAGAAGCTACATGTGGAACAGAAGCCCCAGAGGAAATAAAATGCTTAAAAAAAACCTGGGCCAAAAAACACTGAAATAAGCATATGAGGTAATTTTTTAAGCTGAAACATCTTTGCAGAACTTCTGACAAGCTCAAACTGCCAGAAAATAAAAATATGCCATGATGGAACATTAAAAATATTTTGGCAAGGCTATGTGGAAGAAAAGATTCTGGTTCCAGAAGGATCAGAAATCAGGCTGGGTCTCTTAGCAACCAACATCTTAAGAAATGAAGTGGGCAGTAGACAGAGGGAGAAATATTTGGGAAATATTGATTAGGGAGGGGAAATGGGAGGAACCTGGCTGCTCCAGGGTAAATCTTCTTAGAAAGACTATTTAGCACTTGGAAGGGAAGGGGGTACCAAAATGGATGGGAAATTTGCCCAAAGATTTAGTTAAAAACAGAGTACATTAGATACAGAAGGTGTATTGAGTGTGGCAATCCAATCTAGTTGCTCCAGACCATCTTCCAAAAGGATTGCTGAATGATTGAGTCTAAATTGGATTACTTCACTGACCACTCTTCCACATCGATGCTTGCACCATAATGACCGCAGGGAACCTGTCCCTACATCAAGACGAAGGGGGAATCATGAAACCACAGGAGATTCGGCTGCTGCCTCATCTCCCTCTTCAGAATCCCAGACTTCTGACTGTAAGTAGTTAGCAAACAGGGCCTTGGCACGGTGAAGGATCTTGTTAAGGTTGTGCCGGCGGACCAAGCGATCAAAATGCATGGCTAACTCATTGTAGTCCATGTTGTTTTTGATTATATGGTCTCGATGCTCCAAAAGAATGGCAAGACATAGGAAGAGTACGAAGGGGTTGCCTTTGCCAAATTCTTGCGGAGGAGGGAGGCTGACTAGGGCAGGAGGAGTAGAAGAAGTAGGTCCATGGGAGGGAGAAGAAGGTGTATTAACTATTGAGTCTCCCTTCTCTTCCTCTGATTGACTTTCCTCGTTGCCATTAGTTGAGGAGGAGACAGAATCTCGAGAGGGTGGTGTCAAGGCCCGAAGAGATGGAGCAGAGAAGGATTTAGCCATGTTAGTTGTCTGAATCAATGGATCCTGCTCACTGGTGCAATCTTCCTTCTCATCCACTGAGTGCTGAGATCTGGGTGACGGGTCATCCTCCAAACTGTCTTCATTATGAGCAATGTAATACTTGAATTCCCCAAAACTAGACTGCTTTACTAAAACCTTCTCTTCAGCAACTGCCCCCTGGCACGGCCGATCCCCAGCTGCCTCAAAACTACAAGCTGGCCGTAGCATGTGTCTCCTTCGGACAGACTGGCTGCTGTCTCCGGGCCTGGCTGGAGGGCCCACCAATTCCACTTCCTTCTCTGGAGGATCAGGAGGAAAGGAACTCCATGTGATCTCCAGCATGCGCAAGGCATCCTCAAATGCAAACTCCCGTTTCAACTCCAACAACAGCCAACGATAGCAAAAGAAGAGGTCATCGGCACCCCGAGACAGGAGGTAGGAGTAGAAATCTGGATCTGAATGGCGGAGGAGAAGCTTGAGATGGGTAAATTTAACTGACATGACTTCACCGTCTACCTGAAAGTTACCTTCCAGGCGTTTCATGATGCCACAGAAACAGATGAAGGCATGTGCTTCACTGTCCATTACAGCCAGGATGGGAGAAGCAATGTCACTCATACCCTGACAGTAGGAAATCTGTGGGTGGGTCACAGCATAGGTGGTCAGCAGATCATGCAGGGCTGTCAGGTGAGGATTATCATCTGAACCAGCGTAGTAGGGATGAGTGCGATCTGTTCGCAGAACATCCTTCAGCACATTACTACGGATGAAATCCAGGTCTTCGGGGTTGGTCCGTGCTTCCCATTCCCCCTTCAGTTGTTCATACTCACGTGTCTTCTGCTTCATGTAATCCATACGCTCCTGTCCAGTCAAGCCATCAGGATAGACATTTAGCAAATATCTCCAAACAACCTGCAGAGATAGGGTAGATTCAGCTTGAAAAGCAACTTTCTTCATCAATAGTGACTAGCTGATGGATCAGCTACAGGAATAAATCTTTCCCCTATAAGAAGGAGCGGACAACTACTACCAGCACTTAGGAAGGCCAAGATTATTGCTTCAGAGTGCAAGCAAAAGAATAGAAGGTTCTCCTCTTCCTCATTATATCTCACATCAATCTCTCAAGACAGAATCTTGGTTCCCAAATGCCCGTTCTCACCTTGCGCAATGAAGGCTCAACTCCACCATGGAAGATTCGCAGGCGCAGTTCTGCTGGTCTTGACAACTGGCCTTCATGATTCAAATACGTATGGAACTCTGAGTCACTCAAAGGAGGCTTGAAAGGTTTGACATCCTCCCCATAGGACCAGCTGAGTGCCTGCTGGACCTTTGACAATGTCCGTCCCACCTGACAAAAAGCAAAAAAGAAAGCTGAGGTCAACAACAAACACTCAATGACTTAAAGCTGGAAGGGAAAAAAAAACCAAGCCACCCATCACAAATAGTTCCGTATTTTAATATGCAAGATTTTAGTTAACTGCTCCTTAAAAATTGGAAGGTTGAAGGAGAGTAATTAGTATTAGGCACAAGAAATCAGAAGCCACACAATGAGCTGATCAGAGTAATATGTTGTTACTGGATACTTCCTTATTGATAGGCCTTAGTTTGTTATGAGTTGGAAGGAAAGTTTCCAATTCCATCTTTTTGAGTACGGGTTCCCCACAGGCCTGTGTCTTGAGTCCGTTACTGTTCACTTTGATGACCCATGACTGCTATTACCAAGTCTGCTACAAATCATATTGTGAAGTATTGGATGATACGGCAGTGATGGGTTTTATCTGGGATAACAAAGATTCTTATAAGGAGAAGATGAAGGCTTTGGTGGACTGGTGCAATAAAAATAACCTGGTTTTGAATGTTAATAAAACAAAGAAGATCATTGTTGATTTTAGAAAAAGCGGGCATAGTCATACTCCACTTTGTATCAAGGCTGCAGCTGTGGAGGTGGTCAACAGTATTAAGTATCTGGGGGTGCAGATAACTAACAATCTGACTTGGTCTCTTCATACGTCATCCTTAGTGAAGCGTGCAAACCAGTGTTTGCATTTCCTGCGTTGGACGAGGAGAGCACATCTTTCTCCTTCTCCCCTGGCCACTTTTTACAGAGGCACAATGGAGAGAGTTTTAACAAACTGCATCACTGTCTTGTTTGGTGGCAGCACTGCCTCAGATAGAAGGTCCATATAGAGAGGGGTAAGGACAGCTGAGAAGATTACAGGAAGCTCGCTTCCCATTATTCAGGATGCTGCTTATAAGCGCTATGTGCTTAGAGCTCGGAGCATTGTTAGAGACCCCACATCCACCCACTTTACGGTCTGTTTCTGTTGCTCCCCTCTGGGAGAAGACTTTGAAATATTTCTAGCAGGACTACTAGATTTTGTAACAGCTTTGCTCCTTCTGCCACCCGTCTTGTAAATTCACAGGATTATTTTTTCCCGCCATGTATATGTATTCATTCAAACTAGACTGTGATGTTTCTCTGTGTCATATATGTGTGTGTGGGGGGATTATGCATAATGGTATTTTCTGAGAGCTGAATGCAATGAAATTTCATTTTAATGAATGCTGATTAGTGTACATTTAAAGTGACAATAAAGTTGCTCTTCTCTTCTCTTCTCTTCTCTTCTCTTCTCTTCTCTTCTCTTCTCTTCTTGCTCGTGTATAGATAGGAATCTTGCCAGACTAAAGCACATGCTGCATAACTACTAGATAAATACTGCAAAGTTTCAGGGAGGATCTCTCTTCAGCTTCTTCCTCTCCGTAACGGACTCAAAGCTAGTCCTCAACTCAGCACCAGATTCTACCACATTTAAATTTTAATTGGCCAACCCTTTCTCCCAGAGTTCTCTGGCAAAAGATATTTATGACAGACTGCCATCAGTCAGATCAATGTCCCGACTACTGGCAACCTGCATAAATATCTTTTACAGTCTGTTCATCTGGAGTTTTTAACCTTTTTGCTAAGGATTTCTCCCTTTAGCCAAGTTATGGAAAAAAGTAAACAAAGATGCTTTAGATTTTTCTTTCCAATACGTGAAAGACAAAATTTAGTAAACCTTGTGGCAATCCCCCCCAAAAAACAAGAGGGTCCTAAATGCATTTCAGAGAGGATGACTAAAAGGAAATCATCTGGGCCTCTGCACAGATGTTGGTATGATGTTGAGCTTGCTTTGTGACTCCTCTTCCTTTCTCTTTCTCTCTTTCCACAGTAGACTCATTTTATACAGTACAGAGAATAAGTATAAACTGAGGAAGCTTTGGGGAAGCTGAGTGTTGCTCTTGCCAATCAAGCAAAATCTTCGTCCTCTTACATCTGACCTAGTTGGCAAATTAGAAATTCCTAGTGACTAAGCAAACCCTCCTAAGGTCCAATGCGGAAATTATAAAGATGCAGTTTAATTTTCACCTGGCTCCCACTACATAAATAGGTTTATATGAAAAGCTAAAAAAAAAGGTGAATTCTTTCTATTCAAGCCTCCAAACATGACATCAATTGATAGGATACTTGAGAGGGCACTGCTGTGCCATACCGATAACTTGGTTCTTGTCACATCGAAAAGTGTGACACACAGTTAGAATCAATAGCCTGGGAAGACAGAAGTCTTTGGAAACAAATGGACCCTTATCATCTCCCATAGTATCTGCCTTGCTGGTTTAATCTGACAGGGTTGGCATGCTCTGGGTCCAACAATTAAACAATGCCATTTTTCTGGACCCTTTGTAGCAATTCCTGCCATTTGAATGAGATTCCCCATGAGATTTGAGTGGTCCCCAACCTTATTGGCATTTCAAAGGGCCCTAAAGATGTGGCTCTTTTCCCAGGCCTTTGGTAAGAATGATGCCTCTTTTACCTTGTTCCCATCTAGATTTGTTTTCTCTGCCATCCTTGTTTGTTTTCCTGTATAGCTTCTTATTACTTGCGTTTAAATGTTTTTAACAGTTTATAAACTACCCAGAGGTAGCATAATAACTATTACTATTACTACTACAATTATTGTTGTGTAATAATAGTATGACTATTACTACTATAATGGTATAAAATAATTTGTAAATCATCCTGAGTAGCATAATAAAGTATATTATTACTACTACTACTGTATACTATGCTATAATGGGTACAGTTAAATTGGAGGATAATGGTATACAGGTATACAGGTAGTCCTCGAGTTACGAGTGTAATGGAGCCTGCCCTTTCCACTCGTAACTCGAAAACTCGTAGAGTGAATCTCGTTCCTTTAGTGAGATCACTCTCTTGCTTGTTAAAACGCATGCGGCTTGTTAAGTAAACATGAGGTATCTGAGGGTGGGGAAGGCCATGGAGGGCCCAGTGCTGGAACAGGCCCCCAAACCTCCCAGACCCACTAAGATACCACATGCTTCCCCCTCCCTTCCTGCCGCACCAGACTCACCTGGAAAAGATCCTTCTTTTCTCTACCGCGGTTCCTGCTGCCGCCTGTATTTGAGGCTGGGGAACGGTTCGGCGCACCCTGTGCTGCCCGATCCAGACTTCGGTGGACTTTTCCAGGCTGCTACATCCGGATGTAAGCCGGGGGAGGCTTTTGCGCCCCCCGCGGCCTGATCTGGGTTCCGGAGACCTTTTCCAGGCTTGATCAGGCTACGGGGAGGATTGCAGAAGTGTTCCCCAGGCTCAGAGGCCTAGAGAAGACCTCCGGAGCCTGAATTGGGCTGTGGGGGGAGGGCATGAAAGCCTCCCCTGGCCTCAGATCCGGGCTGCAGCGACCTGGAAAAGGCCTCTGGAGCCCAGATCAGGGCGCAGGGGGGGCACAGAAGGGTTCCCTGGCTGCAAATCCAGGCGGTAGAGGTCTGGAAAAGGTCTCTGGAGCCTGGATCGGGCCGCAGGGGGGAGTGCGCGGAAGCTTCCAAGTGCCTGATCCACGCCTCGGAGGCGTTTTCCTAGCCGTTTGTGTCAGGAACGGAAGTTGGGGGGCACTTCTGCATGCCTCCGGAGGCTGGATCCAGCCCTCGGAAGACTGCTCCAAGCTGCTGCTGCCCAGAACGGAGCTTCCAAGGCAGAAAGGAGTTGGGGGCAGGAGCAAGAGTCAGGCACCTTTTGCATAGAGAATGAAAGTCTCTGAGGTCCATGATTTAGCGCAACTTCAAACACTCGCGCGAGGTCACAGACTCCAGAAACTTCCATTCTCGGTGCAAAAAACACTTCCAAGCCGACTCTCCTCTCCTTCAAAGGGAAAGAAACGGCAGCAGAGAGGATTTTTGTAAGGTGAGTGAGTCCGGTGTGGCAGGAAGGGAGGGGGAAGCAGTTGTGAGGAGTGTGGGGGGAAAATAGGGTGAACGTTGCAGTGCCACTCAAATCGCTCGTAAGGGCGAACAACTGCCGTGGTGCTGCAATATTCATAACTTCGGGACTTGCTCATAAACACTAGGGGGCGCTCATCACATAACTTCGAATGAGCGTTAAGTGAACGCTCGTAACTCGGGGATTACCTATATTTTATGGTTTTGGGATAACTGACAGTTTTTCTCCTCTATCGCTTTCTGTCCTAGAATCTAAATTTTTATTTATGACATTGATACACTTCATCAATCTAACTGTACTTTAATGTATTAACATGGGATAATGCAATAATAGAAAAGTAGAAAACAATATTTTCATAGAATAAAGCCCGTTCTGATGGCTTCAGAATCAACTCTGAAAGGCCCTCTGGAAAAGATAGCTCCTTTACAATTCTCCAGAAAGCCCCACAGTGGGATCAATCCTCACTTTGGAGCATCAGCTGTTCCATAGGACAAAGGGTGCTATACAAAGAATGCTGTTGTCAGGCCTCTTCGTACTGCATCTCGTAGCAAATGGGGATCCTGGGAAGCCTTTCTCTGACTGTTCAGAGCAAGTAGGTAGATTTTACCAGAGAGAGGTGATCTCTTAGATATCCAGGCCCCAAGCCACTGAGGTCTTTAAAGAAAGCAACCAGCATCTTGAGCACAGAAACACCCTGCTTCCACAACAAGAGTATAATAGAGCAATATAGAAACTGATTCATAGGAATGCAGGCCACTGCATTTTGCATTATTAGATCTTGCAAATACCACCCAATGAAAATATAAGTTAGCAACTCCACTCCCTGAAGGCTCACCTGGGAAATGATGGACTGGGTGAAGGGCAGGGCTGCAGCTGCCAAAGACCTCTTCTCCACTAGCAGCAGGTCGGTACTTATAACATCCTTAGGGCTGATAATATCCCAATCTTCTAGCAGGGGGCCTGAAAGAGTATGATATTGTGAGCACATTCCTCAAACCAGTTCTGCCAATCCCTCTCCCCTCTCCATTCTCACTTTCACAGGGACAAAGGTGTCTACCAAAAAGGATGCAAACTAGAGTTCATATACCTCATTATAAGAAGAATTTAAAACAAAAGTTAGTGCAACTATTATGATTTACTAAATCATGAATTCACTTACTCTGGTTCTTTTGAGAAAAATAATATAGAGAGGGCCTTTTCAAGCTTACATTTCAGTCTAACTGCATTCAGCAGAGTTGTCACCCAGAATTCTGAACTTGTGTCTTTGGCGACTGGAATACACAGTGTTCTAAGCCATTTTAATTTTTGCATACCACGAGCTGGAAAGAGGTGCTGGTAAAGTACACTGTGCAAAAAGAGGCCTGATAACAGATAGCTTTCGGGTGAGTCAAGCAATGGGTGGGATGTACCAAAACACACATGCAGAGATTTACCTGTTCAACCTTACTGCTGTTTCCCCATCCATGACTATGGCTAACAATGCTGTATCTGTCAATACTGTGATTCATACCTTCTCTTCTATAACAGCTATCAGCCACCATCCCCACAAGAACAATATAAATAGAGAAGCTAAAGATAAGGAACTCTGTTGATGGAACATGCCCTCTGTATAGAATGAGAACAAGGTATGAGGGAATAGAACCTTTATTATTTGCTCTTTCGTTAATGACAAGTAAAAATTACTCACTGTCTTCCAAGGGCTTGATGTCTATCTTTAGTTGTAAAAAAGGCTTAGAGGCTCCAGCAAAGGCCATCCCCAGATCCCAGTCTGACATCAATGACAAGTACATTTCTTGGTTTTGCTTATCTCGGCTTAAATAGCTGATGGTAAAATTCTTCTTCCTGATGCAGGCAAAGGGTTTAGAGTTCTTTTCATTGAAGCTGAATATCTCTTTCTCAGCATGGCATATATTTATGTAGAAAACAAGCTGAGAAATCACGCAACATATACTAAGCAAACTCCCATAGGTGTACTGTGAAATAAGGTCTGGCTTTAAGTGGGGCTTTCGGACAGGTTTACAGCCAGACCAAATCCTCATTAGAGGATAATACAAGACTAGACAACATTGCAAGGGTTGCAGGAGATCATCCGAAAAAAGAGAAAGGGCTGATTTCCCCCCCCTCCCAATTATATGCAGTTTTTCTGGAGTTAAAATATTGGGGAGAGGTAGCCTTTAGGAGGCAAACTATAACACCATAATCCCATGATTAAAAATAATCAGAACCTGAAAAATATTCACCACTTAGGAGGTTGACTTGAGAGACTAGTGAATTGTAAGGCTGATAATGAGTTAGGCAAGAATGCCTCTCGGGGTCATCACCGCCAGCAGCAATTTTGAAAACAAAAGCATTGCAATACCAACAGTGTCTTGCTGAATTCCAGTCATGCTATTTGGGATCCTGAGAAGCTACAACTGATTGTTGGGAGGGGTTCCATAGATTTAGCAGGCTACCCAACTGATATAAATTAAAAAAACAACCAAAAGGAACAGTACTGTTTTCCTTCACTATACTTAGCAGTAAATTGCTGTCTAAAACAAGTATTTTTGTTAAAGTGAAACTTACTGTCCCTCTTTAATCAGACATGTCAAAACATCCATCCTCTCATTTTCTTAGGCCCCTCCATACAATACTAGCAGTCTCCCTCTTAGTATGTGACATTCTTTTTTGAATGTAAGATTAGCTTCATTGCTAATGTCACAATGAGGGAAAGGATACAAAGTCTCTTTGCTCACAATTCATGTTCTGAGTTCTCATTCCCCTTCCAATGGCTCAAAACAAAAAGCCCTAGCTTATAGTTCCGTCAGTAATGTGCTGCAAAATTTGCTTTCATTAATTGGATCCATCACAACAGGAGCTGAAAGACGGGGTCACTTATTTCTATCCTCCCTGCACTTGCTTTTCAGAACCGACATGACAGAAATGATACCATTTGTATTTCAACATTTCTGTTCAATAGAAACAACAGCCATTTGTGTGAAATGATATAGGGTCTCCTGCTTGAGCAGGGAGTTGGACTAGAAGACCTTAACTCTGTTAATTCTATATTCTAACTCACCCATTGAGGTCAAAAGCTCTGATGAGAATGTGTTGCAATACATCCAGTGAAGTGATCTGTGGGTCCACAGCAAAAGTCCGGAACTCAGGTTGCAAGAAGCCTTCACATTTCTGCAGAAATTGCACATAGGTAAGATTTTAAAAACAGTGCTAACTGGATAATCTGCATTAATCTGTACATATTAGTCTCAGCATTTCCTGGGAAAAAACAAAGAAAGTTTATTACTGTTTCATTATACAATGAAGATTATGACCACACTTGATTCAATCCCATATTTTTCAGGCGATCTCCATGAAAATATATTGTTACTACGGTATTTCATTTTCTCTCTCTGCTTATAAGCATGCCTTCTTAAGAAGAAGAATCACTATGAGAAAGTGAAGGGAAAATAAATTAGAAACAGCTTGTTGCTATTGACTCTCCCTAATCAACTTTGAGTGATAAGTGGACTAATTTGTGTACATTTACCAAATCAACAGACTAAACAGCTATCATTAACTACACTGCAAACTGACTCCATAAACTTAGATGAAATGAAATAATGAAAGTCCACTATAAATATTGAGGGCCAGGATCAAAAAATGCTTCTGTTCTTTATATGTATTTAAAAGTGTTGCAAAAAAACAAATGATGAACTAAATATAGGACAAAATGGCTTTTGGCTTCATATTACAAGAATGTAATTGCCATGTTTTAATGGAATCTCGAATATGGTCGAAGTTATTACAGGTAAAGTAATTCTTGACTTATGACCATAACTGAGCCCAACATTTCTGTTGTTGTGAGACATTTGTTAAGTGAATTTTGCCCCATTTTATGACCTTTCTTGCCTCAATTGTTAAGCGAATCACAGCAGTTGATAAGTTAGTAACTCAGTTGTTAAGTGAATCTGGCTTCCCCGTTGACTTTGCTTGTCAGAAGGTTGCAAACATTATCTTGTGACAGAGCAACAGTCATAAATACGAACCAGTTGCCAAACATCTGAATTTTGATCACATATAATGGGGATGCTAGAAAGAACGTAACTGTGAAAAACAGTCATAACTCACTTTTTTCAATGCCATTGTAACTTTGAATGGTCAATAGGCGAACTGTTGTAAGGACTACCTATATATTTATTGACATTTTGATTCAAAGACCTGATTCTGACATGAATCAGAACAATAGTGTCCAATTCAAAAACCAAGAGCTCAGATCCCAACAACTCAATGGACATATTTCTAAATAAGGAAGGTTGTAGTTGCCCGTAAAAATTTTTAAACAGTTCTGTATAGCATATAAGTTCCTTACAATATGGAAGAATCTACTGGAATGGGCAGCTATATTAAATCTAATCAAGCACAATAACAAAATATATTTATTTCTATTTTTTTTATTATTATTATTATAAATCAGAATGCCAGAATAATAACCTAATATTAAACAGAGTATCAGGTTTATTTAGAAAAACTGCAGTTAATACAAGCCAAAGCCTAGCATGATGTCTGAACAGTCAGTGACTTAAACACATTTTATGAAACAATAAGAATTTGAGTCGATGCTTTCCTGAGCAAAAGAGCAATGTCTCAGCCACTGCAATAAGATATATAATTTTGCAAGGTTACCTTGGAAATAAACAGATTCCCATGCCAACGACATGACCAATTTCACAGCCAAATACTCCATACAACTAATTCCACTATGCAAGTGCTGCTGAAGAATAATTTTGGAACCTCAGCTCTGCTTACCTCTGGTATACGATCCTTCAATAATTCCATCCACATTTCATCCTGCCGAAGATTCAGCTCCAAACAATCTTGTGGGCCACCCTCCAAGCCCCCCATTTTCCAGACTCCATCCTAATAAGTCTCAGCAATCTGGAGAGCCCAGGTTAGGGAAGGATGCCCTGTGACATCATTATGAGAAATCGTTTGGCGGACTAGACTCAGCTTCCATGGGAAACACCTGGGACGCACCTCCACCTGTGGCTTCTCCCTTCCTTCCCCCCCCCGCCACCCAGAACCCGGCCACTTCTGGCCTCTTCGCCTCCGGGTCCCTTACCTTGACCCGCACACGAACCACTTCATGTTCTTCTTCTTCTTGGGGCTGCAGCCGTGATCCTGGACCGGCGCCGGCCCCACCCCCTCCGGGAGTCGGCAGCGGGGATGCCTCTGCTCCCCCCGGGGCCGCCACCGCCGCCATCCCGACCCCTCCACCTTCGCTCTGCGGCGGAGGCACCGCGCGCCGGGGCACTAACGGCCCCCCCGCCCCCGTGACGTCACCCACCCCGAGGGCGCCTCTCGTGCCGTCAGCCAGTCAGCTCGCGGGTGTTCTCGCGCAAGGGGGAAGGGCGGGAGGGGGGAGGGAAGAAAGCCCCGCTTCCATCCCATTGCCCCCGCCCACGACTTCCACCTTCGCCGGCAGTCCCCGCTTCTGCGCTGACTTCGTCAACTGTATCTTTAAAGGCGCAGAGCGGAAGCGCCGGATGGCGCGTCTATAAACCAAAGCTTCTGGCAGCTCGTGGGTTAAGCGGGCAGGGCTTTGTAGGCTACAACAAAGGGCGGGGAAAATGACGACTAGGAAGTCTTTAAAAAAAAACAACCACTTCCGACTTAGACGAAAATAAGCGGCAGAACAACGAAAGCCGAAGCGAACGAAACGGTAATCGGGCGTTTGTCTACTCCACGGGACGGGTAGTCAACCTTGGCTCTTTTATGACTCGTGGACTTCAATTCCCAGAATTCCTGAGCCAGCTTAGCTGGCTCAGGAATTCTGGGAGTTGAAGTCCACGAGTCATAAAAGAGCCAAGGTTGACTACCCCTGGTCTACTCCATGGAGATTCTCAGTCATCCAGGTCATGGTTGTCCCAAAGGTGCTTTTTCAAGAGGCGACTGGACTTTCTTGTTTTTCTTTGAAGACGTTTCGCTTCTCATCCAAGAAGCTTCTTCAGCTGGTGGCTGGTGGCAAATGACCAGCTGTCTGCAAGGAATATAAATCCTTCCATTCCCCACCATCCAGTCAGAGCTGAAGAAGCTTCTTGGATGAGAAGCGAAACGTCTTCAAAGAAAAGAAAAAAAGAAAAGCCCAATTGCCTCTTGAAAAAGCACCTTTGGGATAATCGGACGTTTCAGTGACATAATACCCAAGCATCAAGAAGAGATATTCCCTTTGACTCATGGTTTCCCTCAGGTATATTGCCATAATATGGGGGAAAGTGGGAAAAAACCGAAAATTTGGGTTGGCCGATCTGGATGGCAGACAGTTAAATGGTCACAAAAAAGTGCAGAAAACTCTGTTGCTACCTAGCGGAAGTCCTGGTTTTTTGCAGGTCAGATTTGAAACTAATCAAGGAGAGAAGCAACCTGGAATTAAGGAGAAACTTCCTAACAGTGAGAACAATTAATCAGTGGAATGGCTTGCCTTCAAAAATTGTGGGTGCTTCATCACTGGAGGTTTTTAAGAAAAGACTGGACAGCCACCTATTTGAAATGGTACTAGTAACTAGATAAGAAGTTCTCCAAGATCCCTTCCAGCTCTATTTTGATTGATTGATTGATACCAGCTGGGGGGGGGGGAAAGAGGAATGCCGCTCAGGTTTCTCGGAGGCATCTAAATGGCTATTGGGAAAACACTTGCTTAGGAGGGCGAGGCGTTAGCGATCTACGTGGACACTAATTACACACCGCGGTCGTTTTATGCCATTATCATCCGGGTCATGACAAAGTTCTATGCCAGCGACTGTCGACTGGATTGGGCGGAGATGCGAATTCAAAGCCAGGGATAGAAAAAGGTGAGAATGCTGGAAAGTTTATTGTTAGTTTGGGTTATGACGTATGGCGGAAGTATGCAACATTGTACTAAACTTTAATAACTTTAGTAACTAAAGGGAAAAACTCCTTTTAACCAAGCATGGCTCTTAAGGCAAACCAGGGTCACAGGGAGAGAAGAGAGACAGTTTATGTTTCCAGGGCATCACAATCATATGGTAATGAGATATTTACTAAGCTAAGCTTTTTCCCCCCCCTCTACTGATGTCACTATGCCAAGATTATGATGTCCTCACGAGTAGCAGCCATGATATTGCATTCGTTTTTTCCGCTACAAGACTTTGCCTAAATCAAGAGGTGGGGAACTATGGCTCCTTCATGACTTGTGGACTTCAACTCCCAGCATGGCTGGCCCAGGAATTCTGGGAGTTGGAGTCCACAAGTCATAAAGGAGCCATAGTTCCCCACCCCTCACCTAACTGGCCATAAGTTTGCTTTTGAGAGGCATTCTCCAGCCTGGTGCCCTCCAAGTCTTTGAGATCATGAATGGCTGTGTATTCTTGAATTGAAGGGTCCACAAATCTGGATGGGGAAGAATGGCAAACAGGCTGTTTACAAATGATAAACAACATGCCTGGCCTTCAGTACAGCACATTTATCTATACCTAAGAACATGAGCCAAACCACAGTAGTACAAATTTGCAGAATTGTTTAAACAGTAACCAAAAGTGTGTCTGAACTGGATACCGCACATACAGCAATCTTTCCCAACTATTCTTGATTACTGACACAGAATATAGAAACTTTGTGGAATAGCAAAACTACGACACATTTTAATCATTTTAGTTGGGATTTAGTAAGTCAAAATAAGAGTGGCATGCAAAATTAACAATGGGGGGGGGAAGCACGTGCACACACTCCAAGAAAATTGACGTGTATCTACTTGTCAATCTTGGTTGCTTTGGTGGCTTGTTTTTTGGGGGGAGGAGAGGAACCTTCAGAAAGAAAATGAAATCCCTCACTTCACTGCACTTTTTTTTAACGTGCTATCAAGGAGAGGCCACTGCTTAGTCAGAATTGGAGCCTGTTCCTCCCCATCCAGCCTCCATCCTCCAGTCACTGGGTCAGCTTCAAAAAAAGCATCCCCAACCTAGCTAGTATTAATGATACTGCACCATGTGCTGTAGAATGACCTTACCCAGCAATTTTATGTGGATGTTAAAGGAAGGAGGGAGAAATCTAAGGCATCCCACATCAGTTATAAAGCTCATAAATTAGCTGATATGGCCAGGTGACTCCTGAGAAGTATGCTTGTTGTACCAAGGTATTCAGCCATATATAAAAATAAGTTTGGGCTCATTCTTTCCTTTTCCAAAATGAACAATTAATTCAGAAAGCATGAAATTTTTCATTTTTTAATTTTTATTGGCCTTATCACATTTTCAATGTTCTTTTTCAGAAGCAGGATGGAGACAATTGTAAAAACCCAAGGCTTTTACTTAAGCTTTGTTGTTCTGTACATATATATTACATTTTCAGAAAGGGAATACACTTCACAGGCTCTTGATTATTACAATAACCTCTATTCTGCCTATGTTACAGGCTCAGGTTCTATAAATTAGTCTTCTAATACTTTCAGTGTCTACAAAGTTGCCTTCTGTTCTAACAGCGCCAACAAGCGTAACACAAGACAACCCTGGAATATTACAGTCAGGACAACCCCTAAATTTAATAATTTACACAGTTCAACTCCAGGGAAAAAGAAATTTCCTAATTGGTCTATTGTGCCCACTATATTGATGCTCCTCTTTCACAAGAAATTATGAAAGTTCTTGATGATGAAACTTTACAGTTAAAATCACCCCCTAGTATTATAGTCTGATTACATTTTAAACAACTCAGAGGAAACAAAATATTCTATACCATTTAGAGAGAAAATTTCCATCACAATGATTTGTTTTCTCTGAAGCCTCACCCAACCCATAGAACACGGAGATTGTTTGTTAAAATGTCACACCTCAGTTTACAAATAAGAGAGTTTAGTGCTGTGCAGAGGGCATTCAAGGGAATGGAGCTTGGGATACAGTGATAAATTGGGACATTATTTATTTATTTATTTATTAAATTTATATACCGCCCTATCTCCCTTGTGGGACTCAGGGCAGTGAACAGGCGATACTAAAAACCACAATAATAAATAAATAGTTTGTTTTAAAATCGAATTAAATAACAGGCCTGTTCTAAAAACACACCCGTAAACCCCCCCCCGAAACATAATCAAACTACGCCAGGCCGGGGGACTTCCGGTGGCAGGCGATTTCGTCGGTCGCAGCTGTTTGCTGCCTCCCGCCTGTTTTGCGTAAAAGCCGGTTTGACAGCCAGCATCAGCTGTCAAACGGCTTGATACCTTTCCCCTGGGCATAAGGGGATAGGTGAGCTGCCCGGGGTAGGAGTTGAGTTCCCGAGTCGTCCTATATGGACGATGTAGGCG